GGGACTTTCAAGTTTCAACCTTCCAAATTCCCAAAGCTTGCCTTTATAATTCTTTCAGAGCATTTATTTGTTTTTCTCACAATCATACTTTCAATATTTCTTCTTAAATCATGACAATTTGAACTTTAACATTTTGAAGATAAAAAAAGGGGTAAAACTTTGGAGTCCCAACAAATTAATACTCCTCTTTTATTAGTTTTCGAGTATTTTGTTGAAACTTTTGCCTATTGATGTGATTGAATTACTACTTTAGTTGAAGTGTTGATGATATGTTCCACCTTTCGATATTATTGAAATGTTCCAAAATAAAATAAAAGGTGACATTCATGTTATGTGGTTGTGATCGTAGAAGCATATATGATCATCACATTCATGTATCCAGAAAAAAAAAAACAACAACAAAAAGAACTTTTACTTTTTAAAACTTTTTAAAAAAGTTTGAGAAAACCAAAAAATCTCACAGTTTGGACTTTCTAGGTTCAATAATTGGCTAATATGTGATGAAATTTGAAATGGAACACTACACTATATAACTTAGGAAAAAGATAGAATCAAGAGCATAGCTTTTATAAAAATCAACAATAAAACATGAGATTCTTGAGATTATCACTTAATTTAGGTAAAGGAATCGTCTTGGGAGGACCAACTCGAGACACAGAAGAAGGATTCATGGATCCTCCTCCATTAGCTTCAGATGATCTCTCGATGTATAGCCTTCCTCTGTAAGCTGCAAGATGAGCATAATAGGCAGGTGGTACAATCGAAACAGGTTTCGTGCACCTCACGAAAGTGTAACACAAGTTATACACAAGTCTCTGCAATTCATCTGAAGTAAACTCGTTCTCGTCCCACAAGATGTGATAATGCGTTGGTCTGCTCGTGCCCTTCACTCCTAAATGGCTACAAAGATAGAAATCGAACTCTTTCGGATGAGTTATCACTGTATCGACCACTGTACCAGGAGGGATGTTGTTCTCATGGTCAGGATCGCACCGGAACAGCCTCGTGTGGTGTCTTTTTTGGACAACCGCGAAAGTGATGCTCGGATTGTAACCGTGGAACTTGGAGCAGGCGGTTTTGATGGATTGAAGCTCTTCTTGGAGGATTTTCTTGAACTGTGTCTCACTCACACCGTCTCTGAAGAATATGATCCGATTCGGAAGCTTCTTTACTGCTTTGTAGAAATCTTCAAGAAGTTCCTTGACCATCAAGTCAAGATCTTGAATGATTTCTTCCCTATGAGTTTGAGACCGCATTCTTGAGATGTATCGGTTAGCTTCTGGCCAGTTTATGCTCCCGACAACAGCCGCTACTGAAGGACTACAATCATCGAACGGATGAGGATGCGTTACATCGGCTCCCATGAAGATAACCGGCTCATCGAGTCTAAACAGTCTTGGAATTTGAGAAGGTATCGAGTTGTAGAGCTCGGTCATTGATCCGCCTATCTTGGCGTTTATCTTGAGAGCTAAGTTTGAAACAAACTGAGAATTGAGCTTAGTGATGTTTGGGAATAAGCAGCATTGAGTGACAACTCCGATTCTTGTCTCTGCTATTCGCTTTAAATCTCCATACCCTTTATGTTTTTTCTCCATGACACAGATAATCAGCTGGAGATTGTTCGATGCCGCTCTTTGAATCTCCTTCAGTTTCGATTCGAGAACCGAAATGTTGTTGAGTATGTGTGATGGTTCAAAGAAGGTGCTGCTTATTGTGTTCTTGCTTAGGAAGACTCCCAAATGCTCACACTTTTGAGTGAGCTCGTTTATGAACTTGGGAATGGTGGATTTCTGATCTGGACTGCCTCCAATACTCATCAAAGCCCATCCCTCGACTCGGATTCCTTTAAAAATTCTACTTTCAAGAAGGTTCCTTGGCCGGTCAAGCTTAAGCTTTGGAGGCTGAAGTATTCTTCCTTTTAGCAATGTCATTTCTTTCGAAATCTCGAGGTTGAATTCTCTCGTTTGGTTTCCGCTGTCAAACCGAAGAAACAAAAGATTAAAACCTTTCGATGTTTTAGTTACTCAAATGTAGAAACTCTGAGTAAATTCATTACCTCGATGGACCGACCGGACCTGCCATAACATTGTCAATAATTGCTTTCCTTTCGTTCGGTCTTTGGCAGCCCATTTTCATGATCTTTGCGGCTTGATCATCCGAAAGCTTCCCAAGAAACTTTTGACCTTCACATATCATACAAAGTTCCATAGGAAGGTAACAAGGTCTAGTCCTACTAATCTGGAGACAAGGCAAGTTCTTGAACTGAATCTCATAACTATAGTGATCTTTGAAGTAGCTCACAAGCCTTAAATGCTTCCCATCTCTATCCGGAAACCATAGATTCTCAGTGATCTGATCTGTTAACCCGTAAACACGATACCTTTGAACAGTTTCTCTATGGCAAACAAAGACTCTTATATTCTTAAGTGCTTTCTCCACTTCTCTTCTTTCCTCCAAACTCAATTCTCTACCTTTGTTCCTAGGAAGATCCTTGAGAAACTCGAGCCGCTTCTGTAAGTAAGCTATTACTCCAATGCTTTCATGGAATGCTGTGATTGAGAGATCCATGTTAAGGGCTAAACCTTGTTGAGTCTGTCTAAGACTCTGGAAAAAACCTCTGAGTCCAACAGCTCCTCCTCCAATCTCCTTGGATCCACCCATAGAATTCGAGTAAAACGATCTTCCAATAGAAGTACATTTCTCCATTGGATTCTCCCTCAAGATAACATCAAGAGCATGAATGTATTCTTGAGGCAGAGGAATCCAATCCTCTCCTTCTTTCCTCTGTTCCTTCCCATCAAACTTGGACACAAGCCTCATATTAACCCTAAACAGTTTATCAATCGGTTGCTTCTCTCTCAAGTCACCGTACTTCACCACCGTGTTACAAGATGGGATAGGGAGATTAACAAAGAACTCAAGCCTATCTTCCTGAAACTCCACAGGACTGTAAATGTTTTTCCTACCGTCAAAAGCCGGAACAGAACCGGAGAAGCTACTCGGTTCGGTCTCCAGTAGCTTTTGTTTGATCATCCGAGCAATTTCCTTTGAAGGGTGTGGAGAGATCTCAACATTGTAATGGTAAATCCTCTCTGAAGGATCAAACTTGACAAGAAAATGGTTGGCTA